GGAGAGTTATTAAGTGAGTCATTAAAGTCCACATAAGTGTCTTTATAGGATGGAATGTTCATGTCGGATGTTGCTGTTAAGATAACATGCCATGCCAGCAAAATTTAACGGAAAAACCAAAAGGAGGCTGAATTTTAAAATTTAGGGACTAAAACGGGGATTTTTTTGGTACAAGGATCAAAAAGGGACTTTTTTCAATAGTAAAAGGACCAAAAAGGGTATTTAACCTTTATTTTTTCATTCATAAGATTGAAACTTAGAATCTTATTTAAAAAAAAAAAAACAAACTTAAAAGGTACGAAAGAAGTATACTCCATAATTAATTGCTACAGTGCTTTTCCTATCCAATTTCCAAAAGGGTTTTATTAGGTTGTGTGAAAGATGGAAAGATCCTGGGCATGCTTAGGTTGATCATTTTTCTCATTTTTCATCTCCATAATTAATTGCTACGCTACTTTTCCAATTCCATTACCATTTCATTTTCCATTGCAATTTCATATGCCCTTTTATTTTTTTCCATTTCAATTGCATTTTCCTTACCTCCAAATTTTTTCATTTTGATTTTATCACACTTTGATTTCCCACTAAAATTGCTCCATAAAAGAAAAAACATACTTTGATTTTTCCATTCATTCATTGAAGGGATATAAATATAATGCCTTTAGGAGAAATTGATTTAAATATTAATCCTACACACTTCAATAAAAATGGGATAACAAGAGTTTGTGTATCCAATTTGAATATTGACACCAATGTCTACAACGATTCTCCCATTGTAAACTATAGCAATGATAAGGAAATAAGAGTTTATCTACACGATTTGAATGTCAACTTTTGTGTCTTTGTAGATTCTCTCACAATCGAAGAAATTAAATTAAACTCAAGTGGCCCTTCATCAAACCATTTTTCATCGAACTTAAATAAGGAGCCATGCATAGATGATTTTTTTATTTTATTTTATTTATTATTATTATTATTATTATTATTTATGGAAGCAAGCTCAGGATGCAACAAGAAGTAAACTCAAATACAAGTAATATTTAAATTCATTTATTGATAATAGATTTTACATTATTTGGTTGGTTTTGATATATAATATGCTCAAGTTAAATGTGATGGTCTCTTGCAGTTTATTATTGTATTAATATGTTTCTCTTATGCTTTATTTGCCCTTTCATTTGCATTTTATAGATGAATATATGGTGTTTGATAACTAGTTGTTGCTTTTTTACTAATTACACTTTGTTAATGTTATTTTCTCTACATTTTGTTATAATATGAATTTATCATGTTTGGGATTATTTTGCCATGACTCTCTTGTTGGCGTATTGTTATTTTGTTTGTTTCAAGTTTAGATTGTGTAGCAATTTGATCGTAAATTTTCTTTTGTTTATTTTGTTTGTTTTAAGCATGGCATAGCCTTAAGAATATGTTTGTTTTGATAGGGGAGTTTGGGTATATGAGTTTTAATATAAAATTTATATCAAATCTAAAACCAATTGTTATTAGGTGGAGTAACTCTCTTTTATATTTGAGGCCCATGTTTCTTTGTTACATCATTGATGTAAGATTTTCTTACTTAACATGCTTCCTCATGTACAGGTTCAATACAAACGTTAAGTGATGTTACATGACTTAATACACCTTTTACATGCAGATCCAATATGAACTTTAGATCTTGTTAAGTGGCTTAACAATGAGTTTCCTAGGAATGGAGTTAGGGCTCTAATATCATATGAAAATTAGGCATATGAGCTTTAACATAAGGTTTGCATCCAATTTAAAATTAATTAGCATTAAGTAGAGTAGCTCTGTTTATATTTAAAGCAAATATTTTTTTGTTGCATCTCGATATGAGATAATCCTAGTCAATAAGAGGAGAAAAGAAGAGAGTGAAGGGATGAATTTATTGACTAATCAATCAAATTATAATATATGCAAACCTTATAGTTTGTCTAGTTGAAAAACTCCTCCCTCCCCTGTCCTCCATCCATTCTCCTTGGAATATATTATGAGTAATGCTAATAGGCAACCGATTAATCCCCAAGTGCCGATGGTCCCCTATATAGCTTTTGTATTTTTTACATTTTGATTCAATAAATTTTAGTTTTTATTTTTTAGGTCTTTTTAACTTTTAATTAAAATTGTTAAATTTTAAAT